TCCTAGTAGGCTACTTACGTTCCGAGACCCGGAACCTGACATGGACCAGACTGGAAGACGACTGGAACCTCGTTTTCAGGTTCCATGAGTTCCACTCTTCCAGGTGCGTGTATAGATATATGGGGATGCCAAGGTATCCTGGTGTTGATCCACCCTTTTTTTTGCAGCTAGGCTATACATTTGAGGTGCCTGGTGATTTGTTCTTCGTTCGCTTCCAGGTCTTTAAGACATGTTATTACCATGTCTTGATAGATGTTGAGGTGGAGTTTCTGTTGGAGGAGTACTTTGGACTCTCAGATAGACCACCTTCAAGCATGCAGAGTGCAGCACGAACAGCTGCTTCTTCATCCCTAGGGCTCCAAGTAGCTCCTTAGAAGGTATTTGGACCCTCCTGGCACCCACCCCAAACACATTCTACGTTGAAGCCCTAGAGCATGGTGTGGCAGCTGTTCCTATCAGCCATCGCCTATCACCACAAGCCGACCCGAAGGCCGACCTCAAACCGCCGAAGCAGTCCATCCGACCGAAGCAGTCCATCGACCGGGTTCGGGTTCAATGGATGCACTGTGACCGACGCGTTCATGTTCATCGGATGTATGTTGTTTTCAGACGCATGAAAGCCGGCGAAACTGTGTGAGTGGAACTCAAAAGGCACCGCATCCATCACTTCATCCATCAAGAACCTCACTGCATTTGGATGCTGAAAAGGTCACAATTGGTGCTGAAGAGCAGCTTTGTCCAGAAATGCAAGTGCACTAGCTACTCCACAAATTGTACAAATGGTTCGACGGCATTTGTTTCAGAGCATTGCCATCTATGGATCCATTCACATCACATGAAGATTGTCCAACATTGCTTTACCTGAGCTGAATGGAGATTGGTTTTGGTTTCTTTCTAAAAACACATCTTTGCAGTGAAAACACTTCAAAGGCCTTTACAAGTAACAGGTGTCGTGGAGGTGTCGTGGTCGTTCTTCCTCTTCGTTTGACCTTTCAGCCTTGGCCCCGGTGAGAGGCACATTTCGAAGCCCTGCATTAAGTGGGCAGAGCAGATTTTCTGCTGAGGCTCGGCAGTTTTTATTTTTCGCGCGGGCTACCGAGGCGATTCTTGGGTGGTCAAAGGAAAAATGTTGATGTCGAGATCAAGAAAGGGATGGACATTTTTACTTGGAAGTGCTGTAGGGCTTTGCCAAGCAGTTGTCCCTTTGATTGTGTCATGGTGGAAGAAAGGGTTGCCTGCTTTGCCGGTCCTAGACTCCGCTGTGTCCACGGCGGATTGGTGCATGTATAGCAGCCAGACAGGTGTCCATTCTTGTATCTCAAAGGAGTTACGAAGGCCTTTTTGCAAGCCAGGTGCCCACAATGATGTTTCAATATATGTTCATCCGCTTATTATTTGGGGGGGTTCCAACAACCAGATCGAACCTGAGACCCCTCGTGCTGACTGGGAAGGTGCTGTGGTGGCCGGCCCAACTTGCGCCGCTCGGAGAGGAACTGCTCAGGATCGACTGTAGTAGAGAGATGCTGCAGATGTTGTGTCCACGTGCACTGCTGAAATGGTCCAGGTCAAATCATTTGAGGTGTTGAGACGCGTGAAGAAAAGGGACCTCACTGAGGTTTCAGGATGTGTTGGATATGCCGAGATGTTCTGGCTATAGCTGTTACAACAATCTGTTCTTGCCGATCTTATATAGAATTGTTGTACACACGGTTGCGTTGTAGTTTCTTCTCCCTGCACCGACGAATCATCACTGGTTTCAGGTACAGCCTTCATGAAATATGTTTGACTAATTTGACTCCCGATTTGGGTCTTCCCAAAGTCGACTCAGCAGGTGAACTTGAATCCACCGAATCCATTTCGACTCGAAGAGAGGAACCAAACTGGTGAACCAGGAGTCACAAGACGGGGTGGTGTTTAGTCCCTAAGTGAGTGGATGTTCTGGGCACCCCTACCCTCCATTAAGCACCCCTTTGTGACTGCTGGAATATAGATTTACAAAGCCATAGCAAACTCAACACCTACCACTCTTGGCACACTGGCGAGAAACATGCAACACTTGGAGGGTCTTCACAAATAGGTCCCCACTTCCTGGGCCTGCCAGTTCCGGGCTAGCTTCCGAGGATCTACTCGTGGAGAGGCCGAAAAAACACGTGTTTTGCCTTTGAAAAGTCCCTTGGCCTCGGCGCTTCGACCGGCATGGGTGGCGTGCTTTTTTCCACGCCGGGGTCGTCCAACGGAGTTTGGATGGGGGTGTGGGTTGGGAGAAACATCGATGCTTCGTCCGAGCCTTTTGAGATGGAACAGGGAGTTGGGGCAAGTCTTGGGGGACGCATTTTGGGTGCCAGACCTTGCACCAAGAGCCAACAGGTGTCATTTCTTTCCCGGAAACTTCTTCACACAAAGACAACACGCCCAAGAAGGGAAAAACAACAACACGATTGCCGGAGCCGTTTCGCCTGCTATTTCGTGACTGCGTTGCTTGCCAATCGATTTCATGTGTTGAAAGGTGGGAGAAACCTAGTTTTGGCTGAACTGCAATGGATTAAGATTGGTAACAGGCCCAGCTGATTATGCATATGAGTCTCATATGAATTGAATTGAGCATAATTGAGCATCAGTTCTGGAGCACCACCAGTAACAAGAGAGGAAAGTAGTCCTCCTGGGTGTCATTGCCGATGTCTATACCTTGTTTGTTTTTAGAGAGGGTACAGTGGTACCGTATTTTTCTTCAAGCCAACCTGTCCCAAACCAGACCGCTCAATAAAAACCCTTCCACTACTCCGCCTACTCCGCTGCAGATGAATCTGGAACCCCAAAACCACTGGGTTGTAGTAAACCATTGGAGTACCTTTCTGAAGTTTCTGCCGTTTCAGGTAGGCTACCTGCGGCGCATTGGGGGTCCCTGGCCTGAGCCAAGAGGAAATGGCACCTGCGGCCAGCCTTGCACACGCCAAGCTGCCTGGATCCGCAGTCGTCCCCCTCATTGCGGTGCCGGTGGGCACTTTCAGGGCCTGGGAGCTCGGTCGGATCCATCCAGTCAAAGCGATCCGTAGGCACGTCAGTGGGTTGACATGTTTTTTGGGCATCAGTGGCTTTTGGTGCGTGTTGAGCCATCTATAGTGGGGCATTGTTTGGGGACGGTTTTAGTTTGATAGGGATGGTCTCCATCAACGGTGGCCTAGAGTCATTTGGAGGACAAAGGCTTGCAATTCGAGAGCACTCCGATCTGTCGGCAGAGCCACAATGATGAAGTAAGATGTCATGTTTACCTTGGCTGCTGTCAACTGGTGACCTGGTGATTGGTTCGTCAACTGATAAACCGACCGAGCTTTTGTGCCCTTCAAATCGACACTTATTTTCGATCCTAACTGACACTGATTGGTTGGCCTGGCCCGGTCTGTTGGAGCTTGCGCCGAAGAAAGACTTGAAGCTTGGCATCTGAACCTCTGGAGAGCTAGGGAGGAGTGCAGACAGCCTTCTTGTACCGTAGGTGTCGCTCCCGAAGTATGCGTGCTTTGAGGGAGGCCGACCCAGCTTACGCAACTGGGGAAGTGTGCAGGACAAACTCGGATGTTACCCTCCATATAACAAACATGGCAGTGGAATATGGCCCCTTGGAAGACCGTTTTCCTCTACGAACAGGTGGTGAACTCCACTTCCGTGAATATTTCAGGGAGTGTGTGTGTTTTTTTGGGGGGGGCAATTGTGATAGCAGAATAACCCCCCTACTGCTCCCAAACATGGTGATTGATGACAAGCGACGGTGCGCTCTGTCTTGTTCTCAGAATGTCCAAAGCTCAAATTTCAAAGCTGTGGCATCTTGAGAAAAGAAAAACGACAATTGTCATTGTTTAACAATAGCCAATCTTAACTGCAGAAAAGGACCGAAAACCCACTTGTTGCTGCAACTGCTTGAGTTTGGACCGTTACATGGGCTGGGCCGTGAATGTTTTAGTCCGGAGAACTGTGGCATGCTCGCCCAAGACGTGCATTTTCCGCCATGTGTTTGGAGCACCTCCGGTTGATCAGCTTGTGTCGTGGAGAGCATCGATGGCGCTGGGTCTAGAGATCGGAGACCTTGTGACAGACTCAGAGATCGGCAGCTTGGGCCCTTAGCCAACCACTGGGTTTGGTGACGATCCTGTGTGTCAGGCCTTCCAACCATCATTATAAGCTAGGTCTATAGTGTAGGGTTTTGTTTGATATATATATATATATGGTATAGCGATGGTTAAGGGAGGAAAGGAGAGAAAGTTGAGATCACGATGTGGACTGATTCATGGAAAGCACCGAGTGGGGGCTGATTCATGGCCCCAACAACTGCCCTAGCTTGAGACGTTTACTTCATGTGGGACGGAGGGCTTGCCATCTGGGTCATGGCACGTGGCGTCTCAAGCGAAATCGTACGCGTCTCAAGGGCGACAAAGCCTGGACCCAGCGAAGCCCAGATGATGTGAACATCCGCAAGTTTCGTTCTTCGCGAATCGAAAAGGAAACGAAGCCGCTGCTGGAGGCTGGACCACCGGGTCAACCACCACCGGGTCAGCCGAGCGTCCGAAGGCTTAGCGACACAAGCTGAATGTCCGAGGGGGCCAAGGACCGAAGGAATGGCCCTTCATCTCCCTGGAACGTTCCCATGATGAACATGGAAGTGGAGTTCACCACCTAGTTGTAGAGGACAAGGCACAATACATCATCATACTTCCGTGATCTTTGGGGGGGAGTGTAATTGTTCCTTTCGCGTTGCGACTCCTTGTGCCAGAAAGAACGCAACTCCATTCGCAGAAGCATGCAGAAACATTCCGCGTCGTCCTGTTCACATTTTTCGGGGGACAAAGCCTTAAGATGCCTCCCTTTCTGAGCAGGGACATCAAGTGCAAGCAAAACGCTGCACCCTAAAGCTGTGGCTTTTGGATGACCATCTTCCCCCCCAAAGGAGGTGTCCAATCTCCCGACTCAGACTGATCAGTCCTGCGTCCTGCATCCTTCTGGGCCCGAACAGCACCGACCCTTGTGCCGGTCACCCGCGGCGCGTCACCCGCGGCGCGCGCGATCGCGGGATGGCGACGGACGCCGCCAACTGGACGGAGCACACCCACAGTGATGGGCGGCGCTACTACTATAACAAGGCCAGGACCAAGCCGAGAGCCGCTAAGGGTCGCGAATGCTCCAAAATGTAGAAGATTTTGGCGCTTTAGGCGTGTAATATCTGTGGAAATGGTGTGCGTTTTTAGAGGCCATGCCATGCAAATCTACGGTTAGTCAACCAGGTTTGCAAGCCTGCGTCCGTGCGCTCACCCTTTGTGATTCGCGATGCGTCATGCGACCTGGGGGTGTGGCTTTATTAGCCCGCCACCCCTTTTCGTCGCCGAGACTGCATGACTCAAATGTGTTTTGCAGTACAGTGTAGTAGGTGCGATGTTCTCGTTGGTTTTTTTTTCAGCCTGATTTTACGGTTGAGGGTGAAGTATGCATGACATGAACCAAGAACCAAGGGCTAAACAGCCCAGTATTTGCGAAAGGAAAAAGGCCAACGAGAAAATTCGAGAAATATTTTCGAGTCATTTGCCAACCAAATAGCACATCATATATATATATATATTGTACAATATATCTTATATCATTATAATGATCTATACTGAAGCCCAAGCGTGGACAAGCCGGGCTCAAACACAAGAACTCGGGTGTTTGACCCGAGCTGTTCTTCGTGCACATTTGCGTGTCGTTGACGCGTCGTGGTTTCGCGCCGCCGTGTGGAACCACGTGAGGTGACCAAGGCTTCGAGCTGGGACAAGCCGGAGTGCTTGAAGAACGCCGACGAGCGCATGAACACCACCGTTTGGAAGGAGCCCCTTTTCTACTCCTCTCGGAAGAAGATGCACAGATGGTTTGTTTGGGACGGTTTGTTTGCGGTTTCTGGGGGGGTGGTTCGGCGCCTGTGGCGAAGCGGGGTTTGGTGGGATTTGAGCAACATCTTTGGGCCCAGCGCCAAGGTGGGGGGTTGAATCAGTTTGACCAAGTTTGACTCCTTTGGTTTGCTGGCATGTTCATGCCTGATTCAGTATATAAGTCACCCATGGGTTTGGGGTGAAAGACATGATTTATACGGGCAAGTGAGGTTGAGGTCCATGGTTGAACTACCACTGGTGCTCCTTGGACACCATCCATGGCAGTTCGAAGACATCAATTCGTTCCGAACTCCGGACTTCGGTCCGGTCTGAACTAGCTTCTTGTTACTACTAGTAACAAGTGCCACGCTAGTAGTAACAAGTGCCTTACTAGTAGTAACAGAAAATAACAAAAAGCTATTAAATAGCTTCTTGTTACTACTAGTAAGGCACCTGTTCCTTGCAGCGTTTTGAAACATGTCACTCACTGAATTTGGTGGACAGACCTTACCCAGAGCACGACTTGGAGTTTGCCGCCTGCAGAGGGGAAACAAACACGATGCACCCGAAATGGTCTCAACATCCGTTTGGACTTCCAACTCTCACCAAATGGTTAGACTGACAGCCGACCCCCTCACATGAGTCATGAGCCAATGAGTCATCGTGGGGCCAGGCTTTCGAGAGACCTTGATACATGTTCCAGGTTTGCAATTTGAGCCCCTCAGCTTAGCAGAGATTGGTGAGAACGATCAATCATCTCATCATCTCTCATGCTTCTTTTAACTTTAGCCAACCAGGCTTCGAGAGGGGCTGCACTGTACTGAACGTGAACCAGCCTTTGAGAAATGCTCTCCCACTATAAGCTGACCCTTGGCCCAGATGTGATTTGCTTCCAAGGTACAAGACGGCCGATGGCCGTGACTACTACTACAATCCCATCACCAAGCAGAGTGTTGCTGGGTGAAGACTTCGGGATCTGTGAAACTGCTGTTGCACCCCATTTGTGAAACCCATGCACTGGATGTGGGGGGATGTGGGCACTTGGTCCCAAAACAGATGAAGGGACAGTGATTGGCGTTGGATGTGGGGGCAACCTGCAGTGGGAGTGCCCCATAGCCCAGAAGTGTGGATTCTACGTTGCTTCTACACCATGCAGGGCCTTCAGGCCTTTCTTTCAACCTTCCATTCTGCGGAGTGACCGGGATTGACTCACTCGGAATTGGCAGTTGCTGTGAGTGAGACTTCTGCAGGTCAAGTACACCTGGTGCCGGCATTGCAGCATGCCAGATGCTCCAAACAGCCATTGAACACCTGGTGCCATTGACGGTGAAGCCCTTCAAGTCGCCAGACCCCTCCAAATATAAGGGTCAACCAAACCCTTTTCCAGAGGTTCCAGAAAGGTTTGGCATGACAGACAAGTGAGGTTTGCACTGTTTGCTGGTGTGTTTATGAGTTAGCCACCCCCCAGCCGAGGTCTGGGGGTCGTTCATGAAAGAAGATCGGAGCTCACCGGCGTTTGGGTCTCGTGTCCGGCCGGCCTGCACAGGTTTGGACCATGCCGGTGGAGCTGAAGCGGCTGAGGGGCTTGGCCAAGGAGGATGAGAGCGATGATGCACCTGGGGCTGAGGGATGAGCGATGAGCATCCAGAGAAGGGACGACGGAGCAAGAAGGGATGACTGACCCACTTTCCAAGACTGGTGAGGAGAGGTGCCACGTTGGCCCAAGACGACCATGTTCACCACAGCACCTCCCGAAGACATGTGTCGAAAAGAGATGCATCTCGAAAAAATACCGACGAAGAAGCAAATGCATGGAAGAGCGCCAATGAATTATGTCATGGGGTGAATCACAAGGGAACCTCACCTTGAACATTCCAAGACAGAAACATGGGCATGGGCCCAAAACCTTGGTCGGTAGTGCAGGTCCACAATTTGCACTGGTGAGGTGTTTGAAGAGTAGTGCAGGCCGTGCCGGCCACTATGGTGTTCGGTGTTGTGTGTGGTGTGGATTCTTGAACTCCTGAACTTGGCCTGCTGCAAGACTTCAGTTGACTAAGACTCAGTTTCACTTGCACTGGAGGTTTCAGAGCATTTGCTGAGGGAGGGATACTCCCGCCATCAGCTTATCACTTGTCACTTAAGGAGAAGGAAAAGGAGAAGGAGAAGAAGAAAACCGAGGACTGTTGATGTGATTTACTCATGGGCCGTTTGGAAGTTTATGATTTGTGTGTGGCTTTTGCATCGGTGCTGGTGAACGATAGGACCATATAAAGGACGCATCCCTGCTCCCAAAACCAAAGTAATTGCACTCAATGCCTGCCCTTGGTCAGTCTCAGGCTCAGGTAGCAGGAAACCTCTTAGTCACTTTGTCAACTGGCTCCAGGTATACGAAAGAGTCCAGCTAGGTATAGCTCCTTTGATTTCGATTCCTTTTAGAGATCCAGCTATTGTCCACTTCCCCTTACATCCCTTTACTATGATTGGCCATTCGCTCGGATGGTCAGAGACCCACCAACACGACCAGTTTCCCAAACAAATGAGGTCTGACTCACCACTTGGTGTGTGAGATCCTAAATACTTGGCGGATCTTGCCATCATGTGATCATATATGATGTTCTGGTACTCTAATATGTTATATATTCCATTTTCCTTTGCGAATACACGGTACCTACTTGCTTGGTCGCTGATGTCCCTACCGTCCACGTCGTCGAGGAGCCCGAGTGGAAGACGCCCGAAGACCGCCGGAACGCCTTCCGCGAGGCCGACGTCGGTGGAGGGCGGCCCGGAACGGGACAGCCAGGTGTGGGGCGGGGTATCGACTCCCTTCACTGCCACCTACTCCCTAAGGATCCAGTTGTACCCCTCTAAGGTTCGGTGGGACTGGGGTGTGTGCCATGTTCGGGTCCAGTCGTACCGAACCTGAGGAGGTTCGGTACGACTGGATCCCGGACTTGACTCAAAGACTCCCTGACCGAATCGAATCCGAGCGACCGAAAGGGGGCCAAGTGCAACATCACCGGAACTTGGCCAACTCAGATTGAAAAGGGTCCATGCGATCCACGAAACCCATGTGGTGTTGTGAGAAGAGGTGCATTGGCAAATGCAGGTGCAACCGCTATAATGTTTTGGAATGAACTATCCCGATTTGGATTCTGATGCCCTCTAAGGATCATAGGTTTCTTAAGTATCCTTTTGTGCAGATTGCAGTTTTGGGGGTTTGGATTTGGGTATACGGTCAGTCCAACGCATTTAAAAGGGCTGAGGCAAAAACATGGGGGCACTCACCCTCTCCGTCCTGCTCCGCTACATGGAAGAGCGGCTTGCAAGTGCCACATTTGGCCAGTTGCTGGACGACAAGGGCGTCAAAAGCAGCATGAAATGGGAAGAGGCCTTGAAGCTCATCCAGGCGCTGGGGAAAAAAATCAACGAACGTTGGAGGGACCTTTCAGCACTGGAAGGTTGGCGGGGGGCTTCTTCTCCAGTCTCAGCTTGGATTGTGGAGAGGAGACAGGCAAGTAATGGCAAGTAGGTGAAGCCGCCCACCAACTGTTGATGGATCTGAAAAGATCGACATGTTGATGGCTATCTCTAGACATGATTAATTAACCACCATTAATTAGAGCTCGTATTCCAGAGGTTTAAATACTAATATGTTGGTCTCTCAAATCATCGCAACTCCCTTGCAGACGCTAATTAGGTTTCTTCATGGTGAGCATTTGCATCCATGTTGGGTGGATGTGCAGTTCCCTGATACATGGATCGCATGAGTGCTGGTGATATGCTTGTTGAACTCGACTCGAGGGCATGACCTTTTACCGCTCTTCACTGATCCTTAGGACCCGGCGACCGCACCATCTTATTTCAGTGTACGAGAGGGTGGAATCTCCACGTTTATCACTGCAGGAAGAGGAAACAACATCAAACACCCTGCAGCTCCCGAACGTGCCAACAACCCATGTGCAGCGCCTCGCCTCGCTTTGGAAGCCTCAAACCGGCGCCTGTCCGGCTTCGCTTACGCTCGGCTTCGCCCAGGACGACCGCCGCTTCGGCGCGCTCACGGCGGCGGGCGAGCGAAAGCAGGCCTTCGCCGAGTGCCCGTTCGACGCGACGCGACGTGGGCGGCTCGCGGACAGGGGGTGCTTTGCGGAAAGAGGGCGGCTTGGGGGTGCCACGGCCTCAAACACGAGGCGTGCCACGGATAGGACGTGCCCATATTTTCTGGTCTTTGGATAGGGGTGCCGCAGGTGGTGGGAGATGTTGCGCGTGGCAGATGCTTTGATTTGTAGCAGAGGTTCCAAACCCGTAGCCAGAGCTTAGTTGACTTTTTTCAAGAGGATCCAACTGGACTCACGCAGAGTGATCAGACTTGGTACTTCTGTTGGAGGAAATGTTTGCAAGAGAACCACCTCGAAGCAGCCCAGAGCCTCATGATGACTTGGATCTTTGGATCCTGCATCTTTCTCTTGTGTCCATCAACCGTGGTGGCGTTGCGAGATGTGTTGGACGTCATTGTGTTGTTTCTCGAAATTACAGGTACATTACACAGACGAAGAAGCGGGAGAAGGAGGAAGAATCTTGGACGCGCCTGGTTGAGCTGGGTTGCATCATGGGGCCCCAAACGCAAGAGGGTGCGATTTTGGAGCTTCGAGCATCCTGAGCAAATAGCCGTACAGAAGTGCCCACATGGAGTATCAAAAGGTGTTGGTAAACAATTTTGAGTAAAAGTATAGAACTACTACTGACAGTTGCCTATAGGTTTTAAACATGTGACTTCATTGTCTAGTTCTGCCGGCTGAGGAGAGGGAGAAGAGGAAACGTGCAAAGGACGACTTCATCGAAGACTTGCAGAAGTGGAAGGATTTGAAGTTGACCACCAGGCGCCGTCGCATGCGCTGTCGCATGCGCTGTCGCGTCGCGATGTTGCATCTGGAAGCGATGCAAGGCGCAGCTCCCGCGAGCTATTGATGGGGAAAGCCTAAGAAGCACCATCTTGTTGGGAGGAGGGACAACACCCCCCAAGCGTAGCCACTGTAAAAGCTCCCCCCAGACATAGATTGTAAAGCCTCTTCTACCTCCAGCGGCCATGAAGGTTCACCCTCTGTGTATGGCCTGTGCTGCCAGCGTTCCACTGGGCAGCAGTCGAAAACGTCCTTTGTACATGCAGAACTCGAAAGCTATCGAACATCTGCAGGGAAACACCATGAGGACATAGCAGCGCCCTTGACGCGGCGAGAAACTCGGATCATAATCCCGAGTACCCATTTAAAAAACGGACCCCTATTTAAAAAAAAGTCATGTCGGAGCCCCCTAAATACGGTTTATATTGAAACGGACCCCGTGTTTTTTAATAGGTGGACTGGATTATAATAATGCGATGTTTAAAGGTGTTCTTCTGCCCTCACAATCTGTCTGAGGCCGTGCAGTAGTCCCAGAACTGATGCTCACCCCAGCGAGCCTGGCATCATCCATGACCAGTAAACCGATGTAAACCGTTTATGGCAAGCAGAAATTCACACATCTTCCTGGGCATCCACGGGATGGTCAAGGATTGGGGATTGAGATGGGAGTGGAGCTGCATCCAGTGCTTTGCATCCACCGGAGGGTTCCCGGTTCTTCGCCGGGAGCGCGGCAGTGCTTCGAGGTATCGAGATACCGCCGAGCACTTCTACAATGAAGTGCCCTGGACAGTGCGCCACACCCCGTCCACGCAACCGCAGTTGGGTGTGCTAATCGGACCTTCCCGGAAGACCGCGGGGCGATCTAGATATATATATATATAGGCATACTATAAGGGTACCACAGTAGTTGAGGTGTTTGAGGGCACCCTGGAATAGATGTGCACCAGTTTTAATGTCGGATATTTAACCTTCAAGAACTGATTCCGGGCAGCCGGGCAGAAACCATTGGAGATGTCATGATGCAACACCGATCAACTCTGCAAAGAGTTTACGCCCAAAGGCACACCGAACCAACAAAAACAAAGGTATTGAGGTAGGAGATGTTTATGTTCAGTTGCTGAATGATTTTGCCAAGCCCTAGATGCCCATGCCCACTAAAGGTGTTTTTGTTTGCTTTTTGTTGCTGCCTGAATCATGCAAAAGGGTGACAAGACGGCTCTCCTTTCAGTTGTTTTCATTAAACCATCCCATGGTGGAAGAGACAGTGGCGGTTACGAATATGTTTGTTCAAGAGAATTTGTTGCTGTTGGTTCAGACCTGCGAGCTTGAATCAAAGAGACATGCTTTAAAGCCAAACGCCTTGGGAAGTGATTGACAACCACGGCTGCGCTACGTAGGGACCTTGCTTCCCTATAGGAGGTTTGCTTCATACAACCAGAAGTGATTGATGCCTCAGGCGCCTGCATCCACCATGGGGGTCGACCTACTAATTCAGAACTATGACGCAATACCCTCCCCGCTGGACAGAACCAAGGAATGGTTCAAACTGTTGGAGGAGGATGAGCGTGCCTTGGGTTTTTCGCTTGGGAAGGGCAAATAACCGCTGTGACACGCTATAGGGAAGCTCCAACTATATATTGACTACTTTCGGGGGTGGCATGCTTTGGGTTGCCTTGTGAGTTGATGAAAGTTGGCGGATTTCTCCTTCTTTTACTAAGGCCCTAGGGTGGTTCAGCACGACCTGCAGAACCAAACCCCTGCGGAACTCAACACCATAGATGTGCCTTAGAACCCATGAGCTCCTACCCGACCCAGTGAATAAAAACGAGTGAACAACAGGGCCTACCCAGTACAGGACGATATGCCAGAGGCAAAGACGTCCAGAAGCCAAGAAGCCCCGCCTCCCCGCTGTGGCCGTGGGTCCGAGGCATCGAAGTCTTCGACGACTTCATGGATGAGCACGAGCAGAAGGCCAAAGAAGAACGGCGGAAGCAGCGGAAGGAGTATGTGGAGAAGGTGAAGGAGCGAAAGAAGAAAAAACACCTACACCAGGAGTCACGTTCGACGGGGTGATGTTATTTTTCTCCCATCCAGTGAGTGGATGTGATGTTCTGGGCACCCCTACCCTCCATGAAGCACCCAATCAAGTCGTTATGTATTTGTCGAGATGTGTGGCACGCACTTTGTACGCACTTCGTGTTACTAGCGCACTGTGGCTAGTTGCTTTTGCCCAACATTTAAGGACTATGTGATTGGGTGTGGGTGTTTGAGATGCCATAGGCTTTTTTTGGAATGGATATGAATGGATCCATTTGACTACCAATTATGGCCACTGGTGGAGACCATGTTATTTGGACGTGGCTTGGGCTTGCAGGTGTTGCGCTCCCACGTTGGGGTTGCTCCATTCACTGTAAGACTCGGTCAATTGTTAATTACCCTCCCTGAAACAATCATAGAAGTGGAATACCGCCTGGTCGTAGAGGAAAACAGTCTTGCAAGGGGCCATGTTCCACTTCCATGTTTGTTGGATGGAGGGTGTTCTTTCGATCGCTGTGAAGGGTGGCAATTCTGTGGGTACTTCGCGGGGGCCCCTGTCGGCCGACCATGATCCGACCAGTTGCAGCGATCATTCGTCGCCAGGAGACCTATGCGTCGCACGAGAAGATCTCGGTGACCAGCCGATGGCGAGACGTGCAGGTCATCGCGGCGAGGGGCTGTGGCAGGGGAGGGGAGGGGAGGGGAGGGGCTGGTTGGGCGTACGTGGAGAAGTGGAACATGGATGAAAATTGCTCTTCTACTAACAGGCAGTGTTCCACTTCCATGGTAGTTCCAGAGAGTGTAATGTGAGGTTCAGTAGCGCGCAGCCTTGGCTAACCCACCTCAACACAGTGACACCTGCTGCCAGTGTCGATTCCCTCGCAGGAACCTCTCCAAACAGCTTGGTCATGGTGCTGCCAAGTCAAGGTTCATGACGATGTTCTTTTGGGACGCCATAGCCACCGGGGTCTTTGCTTGGACGACCATCCCATCTTCCTCTAAGACGGTGGGTGTTTTCTGGTGACAGACCTACGATGGAGATCTCTGGATTGTCACAGATCCTTTGCTTCTCCCAGATCGCAGGAGAGCGTGAAGTCCTGCATGATCATAAACATCGGTCACTTGCTACGCGCCCCTCTATCTTCAGCGGTTCCACAGTCTACCCCTGGGAGGGATAGAGCCGAGACTGATGAAATCTTTACACTCCCTGGAACTAACATGGAAGTGGAGAATGGCCCCTTGGAAGACCATTTTCCACTACAAACAGGTGGTTTTCCACTTCCATGTTAGTTTTCGGGAGTGTAGTGATCCAAGAATCACAATCACAACTCACGAAAACAGCCCTTTGCTTCCCCAAGTGCCCAACCATATATAGATCGAATGCGCATGATTGCCGCTCTCTTTCCCTCCACACCGACCCACCGACCTGCCCTTTGCAGCAGTGAAAAAACACCCCCCCCTTCGTTCTCGTCCGGTCTCCTGTGATTGACGGTCCGGCAGGACGCACTGAGAGACAACGAGCACTTCAAGTGGCTCTCGAAGTTGGAGGCCTTGACCTCCTGGGAGGACCGACCACGGAACCAGCGACGCTTCGCCCGCTGTCGTCGGTCCGGCGGATAGTCTCGGCTGGGTTGGTTGAGGCTGCTATGGCTTCACTGTCCTTCTTTTAATGGGGAGAGAGCCTCATAAGGTGCCAAGCAAATGGCTGGGCCGTGGCTCTGAAGGAGTTCTGGTGCCCAGCGGCCCCGAGACGTTTCTGGGTGATCAAGATCGGCTCGGTGAGAAGGAGGGGACCCCCCGTTGCCAACGGCTACGGCTCGGTGCCGGTCGATCCTCGGGTCATCCGGCAGCGTCCAGGAGTGGGTCTTGGACACTGAGAAGGCGGAGCTCAAGGACCGCGAGTTGCCGAGAGATCCGAGATGCGAAGCGCGATGCGAGATGGCGGTTTGTTGTTTTTTCAGCCACTGACAGATCGAACGGGGACTCCGGTGGTACTCGAAATGTGGTATTCATAATAGTTGTACTATGTTGTACTTCTACCCTCCAACCCCACCTAAACACTCTCTCAGCATGGTTTCGAGTCAAGAGTTTGGGGTTGCTTGTCATCTTGCCAATGTACTGCATGCACTTGCCCACTTGCCCTAGCAATGTCAGGCACAGGTAGAGGATACAAAGGTCCCCAGCCTGCAAATATGTTGTGTACGAATGTGTACAACAGTGTTGGTCAAAATCCGCCCCAGCTTGTTCACGAGAAGAATAATGCATGCTCAATGGATGTTTGTCTATTGATCCACACCATCTCTCAGACAATCATAGATGTCGGACATGACCCTTCAAAAAGACTCCTTTATATTCGTTGTCCTCCTCGCATCTGATTTTTTCCAGCTTGCATCTTCAATCCTTTTTAGCTTCATCATTCAGCTGCTTTCTCGCTTCACCGCTTCCCATGCCCGCCACTTGCTTCAGCCTCTCCTTCTCAGCTTGGCAGCGGCGCTTAGCTGAGGAGAAGACCAAGACCAAGTACCGCTCCGAGCGGAAGAACCGCGATGCCTTCCGGGACCTGCTGCGGCAACACGGGGACGAGGGGAGGCTCGGGCAGCAGAGGTTGAACTCATCGGTCCAAGAAACGCCTATCATACTGCAGCATACTACAGCCTATCATATCTCATGGTGTCAATAGGTCTAGAAATTAATAGATAGCTGTCTAAGATTATGCAGGGTTCCCATCATTGGATCCATTTGGTCTCTCAAGCTCGCTTGGTATAGCGAAGGTGTTTGGAGCATTGGAGCTGTAGAGCTTTACAAGAACTGTGTCACAGCGAAATCAATGGCAACAAGGAACACAACGGACCGGTGATGGAACGTGTCTCACCGGTGATGGAACATCATCAGTTGGACACAAAAAAGATCAAAAAAAGAGCTTTCTTTATATGAAAAATAACTTGATATTTGCCAACTAATACCTACCTAGTAAACCTAAAGTATGCAAAAAAAATTGTAGTTTCAGAAAAAACAGTTTTTTTGTTGAAAATGTATTTTTTGTATAACAATTACCTTTTTGGATTTTGGTTACCTTTTGTTACCTTTTGCATACTTACTGCTGTTTGTTTGAGAAATCATGGGACCATTCTGTCTGAGATCTCCAGTCTGGAGTTGTGGGCAAATGAACAGGGCGCCAGTACTTACTTTCTGTACACAAAGGATGTTGCAATCACCAGAGGGCATTTAGATGATACATGATGCCCCCTGTGCACAAATTGCAACTTCCTCGTTTTGCAAAGATTGCTTTGGAGATCCATATCGCCATCGAAACCATTTCAAAGTGGTCGAGCTCTATCTATTTAGTTCATAGTCATGGTTAGAGTGGCCAAAACTTCAAGACGTTGAAAAGTTGCTCTGCCCTCGAAGAACTTCGAAGCGAAGGCCCTGGAAATTTACCGGACAGAAGCCAATTTCACTGAGAGCATGCTGTGTTTGAGATGCGTCAAATTATCCCAACAGCTTGTCATGTAATGCCTTGATTCCATCTTGCCTGGAAGATTCGGATAAGTTGCGGTGATCATTCAAAGTTGAATAATAGAGAAACGCTTGGGGCAACGGAAAACAAAACCTAGCTCGATCTGCAATCGCTGAGATTTCCCACTTTTTCAGTGGACATTTAAACTTCCATGCAGGAGTGGCCGAAAAACAATTACGGAATTTACCGTCCAAATGACGGAAATCACCGGAAAAATTGCGGAAATTGCCGGACACGGTTTGGATGTTTTGAATGTAAAATTTTTTGCTGTGTCAGGGGCCTCTGGTACGTTGGTACATGCAGGTTTCCTTTGATGTGGCCACGCCTGCTCCTATCAACTCCTTGGTTTCGAGCTGCGCCACTCTGTGAGGTGAGGGATTTGAAGGCATGCCCTGCCCGACACATGATGTTGTGCAGCCCCCTGATGAGGAAGACACCCTTCTCCAGCAGTTGCAGGAGCAAAACACAGCTAACTCGCTGTAGTAGTTGTTTCGATTCCTTAAGAGGGGCTCGCACTGCGTTACAGGTTGTGTATGACTTCGGCCCAAGCGCCAAATCTTTCTCACCCCACTTTTGAGACGAGAGAAATTGTCAAACTGTCCAAATTTTGCGTGTCAGTTAAATGGCATTGTGCAGCCAACAAAGTTCTTATTATTGGGAGAATCAGCCGTGTCAGTAGACAGGTTGCAAGCAAGCAGGTGATCCTAAGGGCCATCGAAAGGTACGGTGTATCCTTGCACTTTCGCCGGAACCGACTGAAAGAGCCTAAGTTTAGGTGAAAAACTACCTTTTGGTGTAAGAAGAGGCTGGATTTGGGATTGGAAGCAGCTGAAAAAATGAATATTGCATACCCTCCACTGGCTTGATCGCAGCAACTACAATTTTACAAAACAATGACGTTTCTTGGCTGAGATGACCTTTTTTGCCGGAAAAGAACACGATTACATTTTTTTTGCATACTTGGGTTTTCTAGGTAGAACCTTGTTAGGCAATCATTTCAGCCCAACTCCATTTAGGCAGAAAATTCAGCCCGTTTTTGCAAAGAACGCCTAAGCTACAGCCTCGAGGGTCAAAAAACGCCGAGGCACAATCACATGCATTCTTACATGAAGGAGGGAAAGCCAGAATACAAAAAATTGAGAAAACAAACGCCTGCCACTTGACGCTAATCCCCAGTCTAAAGTTATTGAAATTCATGTCGCTCACTCCCCCTAAAAGGCTACCATTCCGTTGTCCACCCAACTACTGATTGTAGTGAGGGGGGAACGGGCAAGAACGCCTAAGTAACGGGTAAGAACGCCTAAGTGACAGGAAGAAAACCTACGCAAAAATATATTAACGCAATGAATCAAAGCATAGAAAAAACTAGAAAAATACAAAAGAGATCACAAGAGAAACATTATACAAGTGAATTCATGACAAACGAAAATGTACCTCACTATGAAAGTTCCTGGAATCAGTGGTGGGTGGATCCTCATCTATTTGAGCAATGCCACCAAAAGGACAAGAACGCCCAGAGGGGACAAGAACGCCTACAGGGAGCAAGAACGCCTAAGCACGGGCAAAGCCGTCTTTACCCATAATAGGCAGAAATTTCTGCCCAAGAAGAGGTTATAGGTATAATGTATGGTTTATCGAATGGTTGGCATCAGACCATTTCAGACCACTAGACCAAGTCACAGGACAAACCCAGATCGGAGTCACACATGGCACTCGCAGCGTGGAGAAGACGTCGCACCGAGGAAGATCACCTCGAACACCTTCTGGGGCGACTACGCCGAGAAGGCTGCGAGTTGCGGGGTGAGCAGTGCCGGAAGTGCTGGGTGGAAGTGGCAACGGCCAGGAGCCCCGTTCGTAGCGTTCTTGTTACTAGTAGTACGGCCAGGAGCCCCTAGTGGCAACTTTGCTGTTTGGTTGCGTGACTAGATCCATGAGAGAGTGAAAAAAGAGTCTCACGGCAAGAGAGTGTGACGAAAACCATCAAACAAATTCAATGATTATCAGAGAAATCTTGGGATTTATAAGACTATTAAATGAACAACCCATTCATTCAACTTCTCGTTTACCATACTTCACTCGACTCCGTCAGTACTGCAGGTGGTGAAGGACTCTCGCTACGTGGCGTTGATTGCTCAGCCGGGCTCCACGCCCCACGACCTCTTCGATGACTATCAGGAGGAGTTGCAGGACAAGTACAGCCAGGAGCTCGTGCTGAGCAGCTTGTGCCACTGAGAGTTGATCCATGACGAAGTCATATAATACCAATAAACAGTGGTTTCTTGGTGTTCTTTCTGGTGTTTGTGGGACCAGCTGAAACTGCTTCCCGGATTTAACCCACTTTGGTATGGGTGTCGATATGACATCCTTCGAGCTGCGCTGTTATGGGTGGCGTCGGAGAAGCGGAGATGACGTTTGAGTCATCAGCAATCTCATGGACTCCCCGCAGCACGCTTTGTTCCCGTCCATGTTACTAGTAGCTTCTTGCTACTAGTAGTAATGGCCTCCACCCTAGTAGCGATGTCCTCCACTCTAGTAGCTTCTTGCTACTGTGGGAGGACAAGAACAAGCTGAAGAAGCTGGCCAAGTCCAAAGGTTTGGTCATCACTGCAAGCTCCACCTGGGCCTCTTGCCCTGCACTGACGGGCGAGTCGCCGTCGCGCCGTACCGCGGGCGTACCGCGGTCCGCACGAGCTGCGATTCCACGAGCGATTGTTGTTGTGGGGATGCACGTGTCAGTTGTTTTGTGCTTGAGCTTCATCGGGATGTGTTGGGATAAGTATTGGGGTATATTGTATCTTAGGTTCTTTTCTCAATGGAACCCTGGTATAGGTCAAACGACGTGTTCGGTGTTCATCTGCGTTCTACGGTGCCACCGATCCTTTGGACCAAACCAGCTTGGGCGCCGTGGCCGCAGGAGTGGTTCAACGGCGAGTTGAAGGACGAAAGCATCTTCAACGAGATTCCCAAGGACCATCGCACCTGGGCGGCGGTCCTCCGCCAGTGCGGCGCCAGTACCGCCGCGGTCCCGCGCGATCCCGCGGTGAGTGGGCGCCGGCGTTCGCGGCAGCCAGGGCCAACGGTCCAGTTGGGGCGCAATCCGGTGCGGTGCAGTTGGCCGGGTGCAATGCGCTGGAGTGTGGTGTTCTTTTTTTGGGGGGGGTTGGGGTGAATCGAAGGTTTTGGTTTAAGTTCATGGGTGTTGCATGTGGGCGCACGAGAAACAAGGTCCCTTGGTCTACCTGGTGGTGCACGTTGGGAATCATGGGACAATTCCATGGACATCCTGTGGGTCCAATTGGGCTGCATGGTGTGCGTGTAATTAGATTTTGGAGGAGTATGTCTGAATGGTGCATGAAATGATGTACGCCGTCTAGAGTTCTATTTCTATGTTTAGCTATGATGCCTTGTTTATTGGTGCATGCTGGTGGGGTATGTGAGATCACCCCTTTTTGGTGATCTCCCCCTTGCTTGGAACTTCTGATCGAGGGGTGAAGCAAGAATCAAGCTGCCATCAGGTAAGTCCATGTTTGAGAGCCTTGTGGTGAAAGCCAAAGAGGCTGAAGAAGATGCTGAGAAGGCAGGGATAAATATGCACATGTGTAGTGGCACATCACTGCGGAAAAATCCATTGTCTCAAAATTGTGCAACCATTTTACATGTCAGTCTCATTGTTGGTGGATGAAAGTTGTGGGGAACAGTGTTGCTCCCAAACATGTTCATGGGAGCTTTTGCGAGAAGAGACTGCCCCACAAAGTGGGCAATGCACCCTTTCTTTCTCCTGGGCGCACGCACTGGCCGCGCGCCTTTGTGCGCACGCGTGTGAGTGTCACGGGCGAGGTGGCAAAGAAGAACAGAAAGAAGTTCGTAGAGCTGCTGCAGAAGACGAGGGAGGCTGTTGGGAGAAGAACCAATTTCATTAGTTACTGGAGGACCGTCACCATAAACATTCAAACCGCTCCTAGTCTGAGGGTGCTTCTAGTGATTCTAGTGCGAGCCTACCTTGACGTTGCCTATGGTGAACTTTTTGTTTGTTCTCAGGTTGTTTCAAGTGGCTATCCCTACCGCCCTGCCAAGAATATACTCTTGGATTCTGATGAAATTCCTAAGGTTTCAACACAGAACACATCCATCGCTTGAGTTCTTGCCGGCCCCACACAGAGGTCACTACCTAAGCCTGTCGCCATACCACATCCTCCCATCTCCCAGCCCCACCACCCCAGGAACACCTTCCTCTCAACAACCAATCTGCTTCCCACCCAGACGCTCGAAACAGGCCGTTTGGCCTTGCTTCGGGTCCTCGTCCCGGGGTCTCGCGCCGCCCTCGCGCCACCTTCGCGGATCCGGATCGGAGAGGTCACGGCGAAGACCAGCTACGAGAAAGCCTCGAAGCTCCTGGGCACCAGCGCTGCCTGGGAGGCCATGGACGACGCCACCCGTCGTCAGTGCTACGAGATCTTCGTGGACCAGCCGCCAGACACCGAGGAGGGAACGGAACGGGTCCGGCTTGAGGTGCTCTGGGGAGGGGTTGAGGGTGGCTGGAGGGTGGAAACTCAGCTATAGGCGGTTCTATCGAACAGGTCGAGTGAAAGAATGAGGGGCGCAGGGCCTGCGCAGGGGTGTGAATCTTCAGGTTGTCGCTTCCACCAGCCTGTGTCCTGTAAAGTTAAAGTCTGTACTGTAGTGATGACATTTCGGATTTATTTTGGCAACTTCTTAGAGCACCCACCTTGCCACCTTCCTTTCCACTTGTACCGCCGGTGGTTTTGAAAAAGTTGTTTTACAATGTTTTACAATTGTTTTATGTTTTCTTAATGATCCTGAATCCTAGCCTCCAAGCTCTTTCAGTTGCACGTTTGCACAGGAAGCATGTTTGATGTAGCCTCAGGGCTGATACCCAGCATGAGCTACATGCCCCAGAGCCCCTCTCATATCCTACTATTTTCAATTGTGTGCTCCTACAGTCAAGGTTGTTGTTCTGGGTTTTGATGCAACACATTTGCGATAGTATATGCGATCATGCATCATGAGAGCCTTCCTCTTCCATGTTTACTTCCAATTGCCATACCCAAGATACCCGATTCAAAAGAGAAGATTCCAGATTGAGATAGGTCCAATATGGTCCAATAGTGAAGTTCCTCAACCAGCTGATGGTTGCTACTGGGTTCGGTCCTTGATCAACTTCTGCTCGGACGACTTCCTGTACGTGGGTGCGTACGTGGGTGCGTACATGAGTGCGCTGGTTGGCCGAGGCTGAAGATTCAAGCCGGGACCAAGGAGGATGAAGAGGAGGAAGAGACGAAGAAACCTAAGGTGGAGCCTTGCTGGCGATTCAACTGCGCTGGTCTTGAGGTAAATTTCACTAATCACATTCAGGACATTGCACTTGACCACTGCCCAACAGACTGCGCAAAGTACAACAACAGTTGCAGCTTTTTCTAACTCTTGGAAACTTAATGTATTACCTGGTTTTGCCGGAGGGCAGCGGATCAGAAGGTAGTGTGGTCAGGCGACTTGTCCGCTGCTACTCATCGAACCCAATGAAACCAGCGCACTCCAGGGGAACATGCTTCCAATACTGCGTCAAAAGACCCTTGAACCCATGGAACAACCTTTGGACAAAGACACGGCAAGAGCCACTTGGTGAAGTGCTCCTCATTTGGCCCACACGCATGCAGCACACGGCTTTTGTTGGCGAACATCTGAGTTGGGACTTGGACAGAGTGAACCCTGCCACTGTGGAGAGTTGTTCTCATGAGATCTCATCAGGGGTGTTGTAATTTTCATAGAAGATGTGGACATGTATGGACCATGGTGTACCAATGGACCCTTTAAGTGGTGGCCGTAGGTGGCTGGTCCACTGGTCCACAGGTCCTCAACTCCTGAGCTTCCTTTCGAAACACCTTTGGGCCAGCCGTTGCTGTGTCTGCCCAGTGCGAGGCATTCTCCAGGGCCCGTTGTACGTAGTGACGTAGTAGTGGAATGTCTTTGGCGGATTCCCCAAAAAAAAACTGGACCCAAAACAAGCACCCTTATGTCAGCTATGCTGGCGTTTATCTATAGTCAGCTATGCTGGGTGCGTCACTTCCGTCCACGTCGCTCGGATTGGACGTCGGGACGGCGGCCCCGGGTCACGGTGCGGTGCGTTTCGGCGCGCTTCTGCGGTGCTCCGGCGGAGCGGGTTCGCGATTCCAAGGAGAAGAAGAAGGAGGGAAAAGCCACCAAGAAGAGGAAACCAGAAGAGGAAGAAGAAGAACCACCGGCCAAGAAGAAGAAAAAGAAGGAGGACGGACAACGGATGCGGACGGAAATTGACTGGAGATGAGCATAGTTAACCGGAACGGGCATGAATCGAACCTGTTCATTAAACGGGGGTTGGGGAATGCTGGTTTGAATTTCGAAACCATGTGGAATCTAATCGGACAGAACGCGGGCGCAGTCTCAGTACCATGTTGCAACTGATAGGTCTGATAGGTGGTAGCCTCGTAGTGCACAAGCCAACACATGATTTATCGGGGTGTGGGGACACAGGATGGCTACACCCCACAAACTCAAAGACTAGCAAGATGGACAAGCAACAATGGTCAAGGCATGCCCGCTAGATTGTGATCGTTGACGGGGAAGTATATGGGCCTTTCTCACATGGAGCTTCAACTAGTCCGGGACTTACCCGAGGTTCATAGGTCGGGTCCCTAGCTTCAACGTGCTTCTGGTGTTTCCCCTAGGGATCCAGGTGCGTTCTCATGTACTTGGACCGGACCTTCCTGGTGCCTATGTGTCTCCCTGCTCAACCTCTCAAGAGGGTGGTGGATCCATAGGGTTTTCTAGTTCTTGTTGATTTGGATGATCCAAATGTACGCCAAGGTGAAGACTTACCCTTTGAGTGGATGACCTGCTATTCACCTTTCTTGGGTAGCATAGCTCCTATTGGAGCGGGTGGCATTGTCCATGCCAAAGAAGGAGCCTTTGTGTCCAATTCGTCCGGAATAAGAAGTTCGAATCCTGGCACTTGGACCTACCCAGATAACCTTCTGACCTTTCTTGGAGTGAATCGGGGACACCTCACGAAACAGGAGCAGTTGGAAAGTTCCAGACAAAATTGGGGCTTGTCCGTACTGACCGATGCAACCGTCGATCAACAAGAACATCTGTCGGTCGATTGAAAGACCAATTCGGCCCCCTCATCCACTGAAAATGCTTGGAAGTTGGGAATCGATCCGAATAGCCTTCACCTGTCTCCAAAGACGCTGCAGAGAGTCAGCGAGATCGCCGGTGTCCGAAGACCTTTGTCGAATCTTGACAGGACGATGACGAGGAGCCCAAGAAGAAGCCGAAAAAGAAGTGAGTGAAAGACAGCACACATTCAGCAGAATTAACTACCAAAGACAAAGATCACAGTTTTCACAAAGTGTTGTTGAGCAAATCCCTTCTTAAGGCTGTCCTTTCTTATGAGGATGTCGATGGCAACCTTGACGACCCTAAACAGTCTATAAGTATGTTTAAGTTTCTTTCGTACCAACTTACTCCCCTGCACATGCCAATTCCTGCTTCGCAGGCTAGTCACGGCTCACCTCACACCACCCATACCCCCTACCTTCACTCACTCACCAGCCGGGAACGACCCAGACGACGGTCTCTCACGGTACTCCCTCCTTGCACCGACGCGCCGTGAGTGAGCGCAACGCCCCGCGCGCCTCGATGCTCCCGACCGGGGGCCCCGACCGAGCAAAAACGGCGACCGAGCGACCGAGCTCGATCAGCGGGGACCGAGCGACCGTAGCACCGGGGTCAGCGGGGACCACGGGGCGAGGGAGGGCGAGGGTGAGCGGGGAGGTGTTTGGGGCCTTGTTCCCGATTTGGAAGGCCCTTCCATATCCTTGCACTTGCGGTGAGTATGCGAAGTAGTATGGGCATCAACATTTATATTGCCCCTCAGGGACGGGGCAGCACTCTCTAGGGGGTCCAATGTGGTCCATATAGAGTTTTGCTGATTCCACGGCAAGCTCAGCGAGAAAGCACAAAGCTCAATATGATGAAGAGATGAAGATGTATGAACAAGAAAGAGGTAGATCGCCTTGAGAGTTTATGCACATTAAACTGTCCTTTGGGGTTTAAGAAGCTTCAGTTCCAAACCGCTTCAATTCTGCAGGCCTGCTTCTGCGTAGCGAAGGAAAGCGACAAGAGCAGCAGTCCAAGCTTGAAACAAACATGATCTCCGGACATATCATATGCACTGTATCCAACAAGAGACAGACTATCAAACCAGCTCAGGAATTTGGGCTGCTAAGTGGACTTCTTTCAGCCAGCTGAGCCAACCCCCCTCCAAGTTCTTTGCCCGAACGGCTGGCATCTCAGTTGCAGATCCCATCCCTTCAAGAGTCCGTTCTTGTTCTTTTGTTTTGCCCAATTGGTAGACATCCAACATCACCAAACGCTTCCAACTGCTTACGTAGACCCCCACGCCTCGCTCAGCGCTGTTCGCTTTCGCTGCACCGGGTGAGACACCCGATCTCGCCATGGCGCTCTTCGAGGGGATCCTCCGACCGGCGCGGGGATCCGACCGGCGCGGAGCTGGGTGATGAAGTCAGCTTTTGGGATTCATCCCAGCTTTGGGATGAGTCAACGTGGGGTCCCAAGTACAGTCATCACTAGTAAGGGCCACAGGATGAGTCTCTTGGACTGGATGGCTAAGCTTTGGGGTGATGAATCTGAGATGTCACTCGTTTGAGCTCGTTCGTCGAACTCGACTTGTTGGGGTGATTCACCGGTACAGTGGGTTAAGACTGTTAAGACCAAGGCACCATCAAAGGAGCCCACCACCATGGTTGCAAGATGTTGCAAGGCTGGACGGTGAATCACCCCCAAGAGCAGGGTGACCACCCGAGCCAGTGAATTCACTTCAGAAGTTGGATTGACCAGGGCTATACGGGTGCCATGAGCTTGTAGCCAAAATTGTCCTGGGCTGAAGCTCAAAACATGTTTGTTTGGACATCCCTCGTCGGAGACTTGCAGGTGTTAAAATTAGGCAATGTCGGAATGTCGATGCGAGAGTTGGTTCTGCAGAATCTGGAAAAGGCAATGGCTCTTGCACAGGGAACTTGCGCACTGCCTTCTGGTCTAATTTCTCTTCCTTGAACAATCCCAGCATGCTTGACGAACCATGTCCGTGAATAATTACCTTGACTGCTTGATCCAAGTCACAGGCACTGTCATTTGATTGTGAAACCTACTGGCAATTCAGAGCCGCCGGAACCCGTACAACATGGAATCCCAGAACTGCTTCGATGTTTAATGAACCCATTCTTGTGCCACACTTCACAGCTCCCACGTGCACAATGTGGCAATGGCGGACACATTTTCCTTGTGGCAAAGTAGATACCAGCAGGACAAAGGCAGTTTGCCCACCAACGTTGAGCAGTTTCTGTCATTCGTTAGAAACCGTGGTGGCTCCTTGCCCTATGCCGCTGTAAAGCAGCGTTTCAATGAGCAAGCTGTCCGCACAGCCCATGAACCCCATGAACAGGATCCAAGTGATGATCAGAGCGATGCAACTGCACCTGTCCGAGCTGCCGCCGATGCAACTAGTAGGACCTGGAGGAGCAGAAATGCAGCAGCCTTTGCTGAGACCGAGCATGAATGGGGACAATGGGGGGGACCCTATGTCACCAGGAACAAAGAAGACCCAGATCACACTTCTCTCAAACAAGAAAATGAACGATTGCAGCAGGAAGTTCAAGACTTAAAGCTCACGTTGCAGCTGCTGTCACCGGCCGAGCAAGAAACTACACGGTGGCTGAGAGAGGAGCTACCATGGTGGATTGAGCAGTCCACTCGGCGGCAACGCCAACATCCAGTGTTGATTCCCGTTTTTGCCATCCGCTTCACGCATGAATGCGTGAATGCCTCCCTGGCATTTGGCGATGAGCACGGGAACGCTCAGGAGAACATCCTGAAGCTCTATGACCAACTATTTCGCGGGCGTGTTGCGGTCGATGAAGTTGACCCGTTGACGGTCAAGCTTCCGCGAGATCGCGAAGATGACTCTGGCATCAAGTCGCGGAATAACAGACGGCTTCTTGCTCTCCGAATGCTGCAAAGCGCGCGGATGGACGATCCACTCAAAGTGCCTTGCAGGGTGCATTCCCACCAAGATTATTTGTCGAACCAGAAGTTTCGTGCCTGGTTCGATTATGGTGATGATCGGCGCTCCGGGTGGTCTATCAGAAGCAGAGACGGTAAATCCAAGCACCGTGGTGTAGCAATATTCAACAATGCAGATGCAGCTGAAAAAGGATTGAGAAACTTGATCAAACGTGCAAAAAAGAAGGCGTCGCCGAATGACAGGAAAATTTCAATTGTGGAAGAAACATTGAACTTGATCAAGCGTCGCCCTGTCGGGGAAGGCGAAGATGATGAGGAGACCCTGACTTTTGCCAGCGCAGACGACAGAGGCTGGAGGAGCTGGCCGCGCTCACACCATGATGCTGGTGCGACTCGTGTGCATGCTGGTCGACAGTTCGGGGCGGAAGAGCCATGGAATACGGACGACCCATGGCAAGCCCGGCCGCCATGATTGAGTGGGAAATCACTTGGCATGACTGAACAGCAGCTTGCAAACCTGCAATCAGCTGCTGAATCAGCTTGCCAACTTCTCGTTGTCACTCCGGTGTTGACCCGCAGCCTTAGCGCGTGTGCGTGAAAAAACAAAGGATTGTACGTATGTGGAGGTGCCACCGAGGGATGCCAAAGTTCACTGGTTCCAAGCGGTTTCATTTGGGCCATTTTGTGGGGGGGATGATGGTAAAAATCTGCCAGATCAATGTAGGCTAATTAGCGTGCCAGACCATGTCTCCAACAAACCTGGTGTCGTATTTTGAGCTTGGTAGGTGATGGGTTCTTCAAGTGCCATTTGATTCCTGTTCACTGTTACTGTGCAGCCCCCTTTTCCAACTTTTTCACGGTTGCAAAACAGTGGAAGCAGCCAGCCGTATCCAGCCGTCAGGGCCGCCCTTTGGAGCAACGCCCCCTGGACTGCCTCGCACCGCCGGGCAGCGTGTTGCACCGCCTGGCCGCGGAGGACGATGCGGCGGCTTTGCGGGCGCTGCTGGGCGCGGACGCGGCGCTGCCCGCGGACGTGGCGTGGTGCCAAGAGGTGTGGCTCGGTGAATCTCAGTGGACGCTTTTCACGCGCGATGTTTCATTCAGCGATATGAGATACAGACAGATGATAGTACACATTGTGATATATCCACTGCAAGCTATACGTGGGGTGTTTGGGCGGCGCTGATGCGGCGATTTGAACGTGTGCATATTTAAAAACAACATGAAACGACTGATGTTTTTTGTGTTTCACCTCTAGGTTGGTGCCAGCCGATGTTCCATATGGCACCTGCACGTTCTTTCCAACAACCTGCATCACCTTGGCAGGCGCCGTTGCCGAAATTGGCAACGGGCTCCAGCTGGCTCCACCCTCATTTTCCTCTCGTTGTTTGTCCAGTTTGGGTTGTCATCATGTCAATCATGAAGAACCAGCAGGACAACTGAGATAGAAAAGTAGATCCCCACGAAGAATGTATAATCATTTCAAATCATTTCTCTCTATTTGGGAACCAGCTTGATGTTCTTCGCGTTTGTTGCTGCCCTTCAGCACCCCTTGGGTCCCTTTGGATCCCGAGGTGGATCGATGAGGACGGCCGTAGCCCGCTCCACCTGGCGGCGCGCGCCAACGCGGCGGAGACGGTGGCACTGCTGCTGGAGGCAGCGGCGGACGTGAACCAGGCCCTCGCTGACCGAAGAGTGAAACAAAGAGGTGACTATAGATAAGTACAAGAGGGTTCGGTAAGTAGGGAAGGTGATGGTGCCAGTGATGGTTCCTTGCAAGATTGCCGTAGTGTGGCATGGCCAATTAATTGGTACAAAACAGGATGGTTTATGCACCAGAAGTTGTGCAACGTGGAATGTACGGCTTTGGTCAAGCCCCAAACGGCGTTTTTTGAAGGTCCCCCCTTCAGCACCAGAAATGGTCCTTTCAGAAGGCCTTGATCATCCAGCCAGCCAATGCCAGGCACCCTGAGTATTCGTCCGTAACTTTGACTAGCACTAGCCAAGAAAGTGCAGTAACCCAGACTCTTTTGGTGACTTCACTTTTCAGAAGAAAGTGAAATAACACGGACTCGTTTGGTAACTTGGCCAAGTGGACGTCGACGCATCCTGGGTGCGTTTGGGACTGCTTGGGACCGATTTGCACATCGGTGTCCGAGGCGGACCGCTTTGGGCACACACCGCTGCATCACGTGGCCATGTGCCCACAGGAGTTGACGTCACTGGAGGTGCCATGGAGACTGCTGGATGCTGAAGCTGAGGCTGGAAGAGCTACGCAGT